AAAAATCAGATATTTTAACCTATACATACACATATATATAAAACCCACCCCCACCTCTACCACCCCCACCGCTCCGACGACTATTCCGACGACTGCTCCGGTGCCGATTCCGGTGAATGTTCCGGCGATTGTTCCGACGACTACTCCGTTTCCAGTGACCGTTCTGACAACTGCTCCGATTCCGACGCTCATGTCACAGCCCAGGTCACAACTCAGAATTTTATTCATAGTCATGAGTTATTTTCAAATGATCACAGCACGGGTCAAAAATTTTATAGGTCACTATTTGTTTATCGGTCACAGATCAAAAATTTTGCATGTCACAGATTATTTCGATGTCACAAATCAATAATTTTATAGGTCACGGATTATTTTATTGGTTACGGATCAAAAAATTACAGATCACAGATTAATTTTTAGTCACAAATTGTCGAATTTTAAGGTCACAGATAGCTCATTATGCGATTACAGCTAGTTTAATTTATGACTACCGTCAACAATTGTGCCACCAGTTCAACGCTGCCTTTAACAGCATCACCACCACCTTCCACCTCCACCACTACACCAACAGCACCCACGCAACCAGAAGATCCACCACCATCACACACCTCCACCACAGCTAGATACGCAACCACCACCACCACTACTCTGAACGAACCACAACCACCACACATAGAACACACAGATCAGCACATATACACTACAAATCTCCCATCGTCACCACCACAACTGTACCATCACCGTAACCACATAAACAAACATCGCCAACACTCACATCGCACCAACAATCACTGCACCACTCCACTAAAAAAAAAGGAAAGAAGAAGGATGGATGGATCTGCACACGTCCACGATCTGTCTGGTTTTTTTTGGCAATCGGATATGGATTTGGCAATCTGCACCACACGTCCACGATCTGCACACATCCTTTAAGAATGGATTTGCACACGTCCACCATCTTACACCACACCACACTGGCGAGCGACACACTTCTGTGGGCTACGCGATCTGTGGCTAAATCCAAATCTGATTGCCAAAAAAAAACCAGTTGTTGACGCAGTGGCTCCTCCGGCGGGCGACGTATTTCTCCTCCGGTAGGCAGGTGGCGACGCAGAGGAAATCTTAGTTGTTGACGGACTGCAGTATCTCCGTTCTCAACGGCGTCTGCCTTCGTCGTCGGTCGTCGTAGATGAATGGGTCACCGATTGCCAGAGATGAATGGGTCGCCGGTGAGGGGAATGAGAGAAGACAGAGACGGTGGGAGAGATAGGTACGGTAAGGGAGAAATGAATTTAGAGTTTGTTTTTAAATGAAATTAATTAGGATGAAAATTTTATAATTAATATTTAATTATATAATTATAATCTGTATCTAATTAAAAATATCTGATTTTTGAATATTAAAACATAAAATTTGATTTTAGAATATGAATCTTCAAAAGTAGGGAAGGGTGTAATTTCCACATAAAAAATACGTGAAAAGATTTACGCAAAATGACGAATTATTACAGGTTGGGCTTTTTGTTTTCTGGGATACCTTTTTCCCTGGGCCTAACCCATGGGAGCCCATAAAAGGGTCCACCGTGTTGACAGGACTAGTGTAATTAGAGTTGGTGATCGTCTAGTCACGTTTTATACGTTTTTACGTCGCAAAAGTTTGAATCGCCGCCTAATTGCACTTTACGTGTTTTAAACACTGATTATAGTGTAGTTACTGATATGATAAAAAATATTATTTTATTGAAAAATGAGTAAAAAAATGAAAATAAAAATTTTAATATGACCCAAACAGGGGCTTAAGACCGTTATTAAACCAACATAAAATAGAACATGTGGTTTTATAACTATATAAATATTTTCAACAAACACACCATGTATTTTGTCATGGCGATCAAAATGGAAAAAAAAAATGAAAAAACGTAAATAATAATTATTCTTTTTAGAATATATAGTTGAAGAAAATGAGAGTGAAAATAAGTTATTCTCAATTAATCACTTTAGAACAAGAGCTTGGAATTGAATTTTATCTCAAATGGATGACAAATCTAACATTATCTCAATAATTCTTGTAAGAAAATTAAGGAAAAAGTAAAAGGATTGGGTCAAAAATCTAAGAGCCCGTTTGAACCTCATTTTTGGTTAAAAAAAATATTTTTTGAAATAGTAGATTGGTAGAGAATATGTGGTTAAAAAATAAGAAAATATTTTAAATTTGCGTGTAAATATTATTTTCTATCAGAATGTTTTATTAAAAAGAAGAAAAAATGTATTTTGAAAATAAATAAAATATGAATATAAAAATGGATAATAGCATGGAAACTAAAGTTAAAAAATGCACATTTTCTTACGTTTGGCGCCGCAACGATAACGACATTATACGCCGGCTTAGAATGGGAGCTGTGGAATTGGAATTTTCGTAAAAAGCATATGTAATGTAACATTAGTTTGAGAGAATCT